GTAATAGTAATATATTTTCTTTCATGCCCTTTTTTATTTTTCTTGTAATTAAAAAGGTTAGAGAAGGGTTAACATCTCTTGCCAACTTTAACATTATTCTAGTTGTCCTTAATCATTGAGGAATTATTTAGACAATTAGATAGGTTCAATTAGGCATTAAGATTGAGTCTCGTGGTAAATTTTTTATGATTAAATGTAATGTTCATATGTACAAACAAATTTTCATATCAAAGTTTTTTTTTTGGGGGGGTTCAAGAGAATCATTAAAACATTCATATAATGAAAGTTCCATTACAAACTTAATAACAGTTCTTGATTCATTACCAAAAGAAAAAATTACTACTATTGATCTTTATATATGTAAATAAGCAGGAATTAAGATGAAATTTGCCATTGTATTATGAATCAATATTGAATTTGATCATAATACTTTTAATTTTGTTGATTTTTGGATATAAAAGAACAAAATTAATGAAAATTGATCACTTGCACTAATATAATATTTTGTGAAATATTATAATTTTGTTACTTTTTATTAAAAAATTAATTATATTAAAAGTACGATGACAAAATTTATCATATGCATTAATATAATATTACGTGAAATATTCTAAATTTATCATTTTTATTCAAAATAACAAAATTAATAAAATTTAATTTATCAAATCATAATAAAACGATAAATTTTCCTTAATCCTATCCAAGTATTTTGTTCTGTAGATATCGAAAGGGCCCTTTTTTTTAAAGTACCATTGCAAAGTCAAGTGACAAAATTAACTTCTCATTTCTTTATCTCTTCTTTTTTCTTTCATTCAATTCTCCCTCAAATATGTTGTTCCAATTGAGTGGATAGGGTAGAGTTGGGTGATCAATCAAGTTCTTTTCATTGTTGGGCCTATAGACTATATAGTACTAAACTCTTTCATTAATTCCATCCATAATTCTCTTGATGGCAACACAAGCATTGCAACAGTCTTTAAGTACACTATGAAAATTAAAGAATACAGCCAGATTTGTTTTTCTCATAGTAATTAATTCTCCTTCCTTGGTTTAAATCTCACAAAGTTTTTGGTTTCTAGCTCCTACATATTAATTGCTTCTTTTTCTTCTTTCTTTTATTATGCAGCTGTCCCTTCTCCAATTTTGAATGTGATCATACAAGTTTTTGATTGAAAATCTGTTTCAATCTGTTTCAAAATTACAATAGAACATGTTTTAGACAAGACAATTGTGTTGAAAAAGAGCACAACAAAAATAAACATTGGAGTAAAACAGTTGATTATTATCGAAATATTTTCGTAAAGAGCATTTCGAAAGTAAAATTATGAATGTACTAAGAGTCCGTTTGTCTGTAACAAAATATGTCATAGCTCATGGACTTAATCAACCAAGATAACCAACCCTATAATAGTACTAGAAAAGGAAGGTTTAGGCAGCCCAAGCATAAACCTTCAACTCTGGGTAGTTTTATGCAATAAAGACAGTTCATTAGAACCGTTGAAAGCTAGGAGGTTGTGGGACATTTCAAACTCAAATTTTCCAAACTTGTTTTAAAGGCTGCATGTGCACTGTACAAATGTACAGTTAATTGCAAACATAAAGAAGGGGAAACAATGGACCACAATTTAGTAAAGAAGATGGGGATTTTGACATTTTTAGAAGGAATCAAGCGGTTGGTTTTTACTGCTAATCAAAGCCTTATTGTCCTTTGGTCTGCCAAAAGAAAAAGTAGCTAAAAGGTTTTAGACTTCATATTGCTCTAGAATGTAATTACATGAATGAAACCAATTTGATGTTCCCAATTCTTTCTTTTTTCTTGTATTTTTTTAACCAACCCTAAACTTTAAACTCTAGACCCTAATATAGGATAACCCCAAGTGTTTAGCAGGACTTGAGGTAGAATCCTTGACATGTTGAAGCCCCCACCTTAGAGGAGGAGACATGACAATTTGAGCTACCCAAGTTCAAGGTCTAATCCACTTTTGATTGTGCTAAATTATGTTGGAGAATCCCATAATTGAGGGTCTTGGATTTCATGTATTGAATTACAATATGTACTCTAACGACTTGTGTAGCAGCACCTAATTATCATCATGCGGAGTTCAGGCAATTACTTGCAAGACAAGGAATAGCGAGAGAGTTCGAAACTCGACTACAATTTGACTCCAAAACCATCAATTCTGTAAATCTCCATGGAAATGGTGATGACTAATCTGTTTTTAAGGAAGCTGCATTCTGATAATCCTAAGAGAAGGTGACTGGCCCTGGTGGAGAATTTGTTTCCATTGCTTCTTTGGAATGAGAATACATATGCACCGGTTTTTTTGTTGCCTGACGTTCGTATCTTTGTCCTGGAACCGACTCCATTACTTTTGTACATACATCAGTTTCTTTTTTTTAGTGTCAGATGTTCTTTTATATCTGCAAAAATGGATTATAAAACAGCTTACTTTTTATATGTCACATTTTTAACTTACCAAGTCTGTTAATGTTGAAAATGGAAAATAATTGAAGGGCTATTTTTGAAAACCCCACATGGTTAAAACTATGCTCTCCAGATATAGTGGCTTGGATCAGAAACTAGCTGAGTGTAAATGAATAGTCTCTTAGATTTCAATCAATACCTTGCCAAAGGAGAGTTTTAACAGTTTGAATAGAATTGAAACACTTCACTTGGTTTCCTAAAGTAACATATTCTCGTCGCAGAGGCGAAGGCAGGAAATTGATTAACGAGAGACCAAAAAATTATTTCAAAAGAGAAGAGGGGAATGAAGTAGTAATTAGATGAGATTGATCAATGTATAATAAGAAAGATAAAAAAAAATTTTGGGAAGGCGCCGTGGCCCTCTTTGCCCTCCTCTAGCTCTGCCTCTGTTGCATATGGTATCATGGAAGGAAAAAAAGAAAGAAATTAAATGTACCTCAAATCCAGTTTCTTTTCAATGTACACTCCATTCATCAGTCAAGAAATTTTTTTTGTATTATGGCCCCATCCCCTTTTACAAGTCTAAATCTTTCTATAATATCAATTTAAGGGATCGTCTGAAGGCCAGTGGCATTAGAGAATAAGAAAATTTGAAGAAAAAATATTCTGGGACACCTTCAAAATTTTTTTTGATGGACACTCTTTCTGTCGATAAAATAGGTAAATCCATTGGCAGTTTCTTGTATATATATTATAAGTGAACATCATTGAAAAAATCATGGGTCCGCCACTATTGAAGCCTTTGACAAACTAAAACCATCAATTTTGTATCTCTAGTACAATGATGACCGATTACTGGGCAATTCAGGTAGGTCTGGTTGATGTTGGAACAGCAAAGATGGTCAGAATTGACGTGGAAAATATCAGTGTATGTTCAATTCTGGAGAGTAAAACAGAGGGATAAATGTCATTCCTGATTTTCCCCCTTTGTTTTTTCAATTGAAACAAGGATGTCTCAATCACATGTACCAAAGTGAACTGATAGTTGTGCAGCAGTTACTCAATGGTCTTTCGGACCAGGCTCTGCTGCCTGATTAAAATCATGAATTAAGCATTCCAAGTAGTTTGATAACAGGTGAAACAGATAGAACATGCTACTTGGTGCCATCTTTGAAGCAATTCAAGCATAGCAAGTTTACCCGTGAAAGTCAGATTCTGCGTATTAAGAAAAGAAATAATTAAGCACCCGAGATTGTCTGATCAATGGTAAGGGCATCCATTGATCTGTTGCTTTTTTGCACCATTTACAAGGGCTATTATTAATTGATCTTGTCATATTTTTCTTCTCTTTTCATTAGCCAAATTTGCATCACTCCCCAAGAACATGGTGTAGCTGAGATGGTGGTTGAAAGCTATAAGTAATGAACTTAGCTTGGAAAATACATCATATGAAATAGGTGTTTCCAGGCTGGCTTTGCTTCTCGAATTAAAATCATGAAGCTTTGTGTAACTTATTTTCACGAACAAGAGTTCAATTAATGGTGACATAATGGAATCTATTTATATTTGTTTCTATGGTTTTTTTAAGCGAAGTTTGGAGTGAATAATTAGGCTAGGACCATCTATGCAAATTTGCAGTTACACCACCATAAACCAGGTATGGAAGAAATTGCTCCAACTAAGGAATATCGCACCCTATCCTTTGTCATGCAAAAGAATCGTGAGATTAATTGTTTGGAGTGAAAAAAATAAGAAACACACTAGATTTATAATGATTTGCTCATAAAGTGAGAGCTATCACTGCAAAATTTTCACTATGATGAAAGGATGATTACAATCGGCCTTCCATATATATGTAAATATAATTAGGATAATCACATTACATGTGTGAAAATCTCAAAATGCTTTTACGATGATAAAAGATATCCATGCATTGACTTTACGTAGGGACAATCAATGTTAGGGATAATTAATCTCCTCACATCTTAAAAGGTACCAGCTTTTTGGCCATGAAATCTGCTGTTCTTTTTCATCCAAATAAAGTAAAGATAGGCACTCCATGCTAGTCTAAGCACAACTGCAATTAATTAGAGCTTTTCCCTAAGTTTCTGTTGTATCCATCAGAATTCATTGGACCATTCTCCAACTTAGTTTTTGAATTCCACAAAAGTTGGAGAATTCGCTGCTAAACTTGGGTTTTGAATTCGCAAAAATAAGTGAGAGTGAATCACTGTAAATCTAACACTTGAGCGGCTGCAAGTGGATGCTACTTTATTGTCAAAAGTGAACTTACCACCTCTGCTATTCTTAATTGCAGGCTACAGAGTCCAAAAAACTAGTAAAAAAAAAAACCCTTAGTGTTTATTGTGAGCCAAACGAAGTAGTAATGGCTCATAACTCTTTAGCTTCTTTTTTTCATTCACAGTCAGGCTGCTTCCTACATAATTTTGAGTGCATTTTTGACCTACATTACATTGGGCCTGCAGGGTATAAATTGAGAAGACTGGGGCCTTCCAATTTTGGCTTGGGATTGGTTGTCGAAGATCATGTAATTCTTTCATGAAATACATAAATCACATTGCAAGTCAAGTTGGAGCACAAACATGAATCCTTTGTTATTGATATGTATACAAGGAACTTCACAAAATTGAAACAAAAAAAAAAAATTGTGAATCCAACACAAAATGCAATCTATAGCGTGCGATATTTAACCATTAGCAGATGAAATGCAACTCAATAACAGACAATGGAGTAAGCAAATTGATGGCATAGAGTCCATGTAGTTACGTCTACTGCAATAGGATAAAATGCCAATTTTCAGCCATGTTTATTTGTAGGTTCCCATGCCCACGCTTGTCTCTCCACCGTAAGCCTGGAAGCTGTTCTCCCTAGCACTAGAATAGCAAATATAGTACAATTTATTGACTATGGCAGTTAAGAAAATGAAAGCTGCACCTGCACCAAAAACTCCCTTCCTCACAGTTTCACAAGAGGGAGGCTGCTCGCTGAATATGGTCCTGTATTTGGTGTGGTAGGCATTTCTTACTGAACCAGCCAGCAAGCATATCTCAGCAATTAGGAAAAACAACCTGTCTCAGGCAATTCCAAGAATCAGGGAAACAACCAAATCCAATTTCAGGTAGGTTGAGATCAATGAAAATTGAAACCAACAATCAATAGTTACTTTGATGAAATTCTTACATACCAGCAGATTATGAAAAGGATGACTGCCCAAGACCTTGAACCGCTGGGGTTCAAAGCCTTTCCACAGCAGAAGCATCGGCTTGCAACCATTATAAGGGCTTGACTAGCCATAAGGAACAAAAATGCACCAACACCATAGCCTGTTGCTACGTCTGAGTCATATACACAATAGTTATATTTAACTTCACTATCCTGAACAATCTTGGCCTGCACAACAATACAGATACACCATAAGTTAGTTGCTTTGGATTAGCAATCACTTGCCATCTAGGCAGAAGTAACAAGTCTTCTCAATGAACACAAAAATATTACACCCCTACCCAGCCTGATACCAAGTTGGTTGATTAAGACGTGACATCTAGCAGGTCTGGGGTTCAAATCTAAGCACCTACATTCCCTTTTCCTATCTCCAGGCCACGGCCTCATTTATACAGAAAGGAACCCAGAAAATCCATGTCCCCATTGCCCATCGCCAAGGGGTTTAGTAACAAGCTACTAGTTGTTGGAAAATAGAAAATATCAGGCACAAACTGATTGCTTTCCAGTTGTTCTTTGTTTTGAAAGTAGCTTAATCTTTTCATTACCGCATTAGATTTATGGAAAACTCATGTGTATATGATTTTACTATTTGAACGTGTTTTGAGGATCAACCATTAAAATTTATATTATACTATTCATATACGGTCCAAAAAACAATGATTTTACAATTCATATAATCTCAAACTAATTTAGACTAATACGAATATTGGGATAAAGAAAAAACATAAGCTAGATCTTGGTGCTTGGTTCTTAATAATTAAGTCACAATCACCAAGCAGAAAATGCTGTTTTTTTTATTTTATTTTATTTTATTTGGGTTCGAATCTGTTGGGAGATTATAAGAAGATAATTTCTTATGACTTCATTAAGTCCGGCCATAGATAAAAATGCTTAAACCGGCTCGGGAAGGAAATGTATTGGGCAAAGTCTAAGAACCCCTTGCTGCTTTGGTAAGTTATCAACTATAAACATTGAATGGGAAAATCATAAAATCAGGTGCTATTTGCTCTGCTCACAGAATATTGCTCCAACAAATAAATCAGATTTGCTTCTAAATCTACCAAAGATAAGTTCTTTGACTAGATCCGCAAACCCACAATCCCCATATTCTCTCAAGGTTGAAGTACCGTTGAGAGAGATAAAAACACATATCTATCATTTTTATAGAAATTCAGCTGAGATCTAGTAAGTTTATACACAATTGAGAACTGTAACTAATAAAATCATATTTTTCCTGTTATTTGATTGCTGAAAGGAGGAAATTAAAAAAAAAAAAGGGTTCAAGCTTGAATTTATTATGTTTTCAAACTACCCTTATTGCTTAAGACCAAGATCAAGTCATGTCCTTTCTCTACAGTTCCTTTAAGCAACAAAAGCAGCAAATCATTTACATGTATAGCTAACAGTTCAGCAGTGCTTGAAACTTAAAGATCAGTTCTTTTCTATCTTCCTTAGCCAAAAACCAGAAAAAAAAGTTTATTTTCTTTGCCTACATTGATGGAAGCAACAAAAACAGCAATTTCATAAATACAGCTAACAACCCAGAAAGCTAAATCAACATTACTACTGTTTTTCAAACAAAAAGAATGCACTTTCCTTCATCTTCCTTCTTATTTCAGCAAGAAAGTAGGAAATTTTTAATGAACCCAGAAATCATATGAGATTATAGCATCAAAAAATGCATCAAGAGAGTGAGGTGAGAATGTAAACTCACTGTGCTTCTTCTTTGTTCAGCTGCAACAGCTAAACCAAAAGCAATGAGATCAAGAACAAAGACAGCAATCAAAAGAAGCTTAGAGGCCATGGATATTTGGAGCTAGCTTCAATAACCCAACAAGATCTAGCTACACTTTTCTCTGTTTTCTGGCTTTTTTTTTTTTCTTTATTCTCTTTGCTTTGCTCTTTCTCTCTCAAACTCTCCCTTTCTAAATATACAAAAATCACTATCAGTCTTGAAGAAGCACGTCAAATGATTAAAATGAAGATATAAAATAGAAAAACATTGATTTTTTTTTCGTACATGTAATTTTCAGAAGAAAATGACACCTAACCATTGCTTGAAAATGGTGCTTTCACTTCTTTTTGAAAAAACTGGTCTAAAACATAGGATTAGAACTAATAAATTTAAAAACGATACAGTGATAGGGAATGAAAATTATATAAAAAAAATAAAAATAATATGTTTTAAATTAAAAAAAAAAACGTATATGATTTTGTTAAAATTAAAAACATATATTTTATGTTTGATATGTAATTATGACATGATAATTATTATATTTTATACTTATTTAATACAGAATAAACAAAATATCAATACATGAAATGTCTATACAGAATACGTTGAAGCATTTGGTTTTAAAACATTGGATCCAAGTATAACTGATTAAAGCATGATGTACAAGTGGCTTGAAGCAAGGTCTTTTTTTTGGGAGGGAGAAGTTAGTTAAAAGGGTAACTTGGGAATCTTGAGAAGTTAATATACAAGAGTTTAAAGCACAGGGTACAAGGTTATCGAAGGGGGATGCTTGTTTGGCAAGTGAAGTTAGTTGGGAGGCTCCCTTACGAAAGGGAATACTTACCCGCCATAATTAACTGCCTTTTGGAATCCTCAAAAGGAAGCGTTGGAGTACAACTTTTGTAGCATAAGGTACCAACATCTAGGGCTTCTATACCACACCTTAGAAGGAAAAGATTGGAAGGGTGATTTGGTATATTTCTTTAAAAATCACAGACCTTAACTTTGTTGGACCTGTGAACAGATTTATCTTAATTTTTCGATCATACGACGCCGTTTGGTGAGTGGCATTGCCGACGAAGTTAAAGAAGTGGTAACAACAAAACAAGAAAAGGCTCTTTGTCACGGAGTACGGTCTGGGAACAGATCATCCTATTCCTTCTAACCAATAAGATTCTGCCACTTGCGACTGTAATGTCTTGACCATTTATTAAGGAATGGTCAAGATCTTCTGCCATGATGAATTGTTGAACAATTTTTTTTTTTCTGATTTTTGTGTTGTTGGGACAGTTAACAACTCATGAAATAAAACTTTTGTCACCATTGCCTTGCATTTACTCGTGGGGACGGCATGGCTTTTTTGTGCATTTTATTTTTGGGATATCTTTTTTGATCTAGCTCATTTGATTAAAAAAAAAATTGCAATAGTTGTGCATGGTAGAGTTAGTTTGGATTACACTTAATCCTAGTGAGATTTCGATTATCATGAAAAATGGTGTCAAACGCATTAAAAAAAATCCAATAAAATAATATGAGTATGATTAGTCGATAATCCAATTCGTTTATGACGGATTTCAACTTGACTCTCTAGGGTCAATTTTTTTTTTTTTGAAAATCGAGTTTCAGGTTGGATATTGTTAAGAAAAAGTTGGTGTTGAGTCGGATTCAGATTTTAGATAAATTCGATCCGATATTTATATAAAATTTTATTTTTTAATTAATTAATTAAATATATTTATATAATTATATATTTAAATATTTATATTTAAAAAATAATATTTTATATTTTAAAAAATAATATTTTATTAATTTCGAATCAGATTAGATCAGATACGATTTATACAATATTGAGTTAAATCAAAATATAGAATGAAAAAAATAAAAAAAAATTTTAAATCAAGTTCAAAACGAACAAAAACCCTCGTTAACCCAATCCGTCGCCAACCTTAAGTATGACTATGACAGCACAATTGATCATGATAAGTCACTGGCCAATTTTATTCTAGTTACTTTGCGGGCTTTTAACCTTTTTTTTTTATCATTGAATTTTAATTATAAAGATAAAATTATCCTTGCAAATTATTAAATAATAACTAAATAAGTAAAATGTATTAGTATATAATAAATAAAATTTTAATTATTTATTATTAAAATTATTATTTAAATATAAAATAATTTAATAATTTTTAAATTATTTAATAATTTTATAAATTTTAAATAATTTAAAATTTTTATTAGATACATAATTTAATTTAATATCTTTAATAGTAATTTTTCTTCTTATTATAATTCATTTAATTGTTATTGTTACATTTGTATTTAAACGTATATTTTTATTATTGATTTTAATCTTATCATTATAATAATTAATATCATTTTTATTGATATTTTTAATTTCATCAAAATTAATTTTACTATCCATCTAAATAAATCTTTAATTGAATGATAAAAAGATAATGAAACATTAAAAAATTATAAGTTCGAATTATTTTGAATGGGGTTGAGTTGGATTAAGATAAACAAGTCAAAAAATATATATTTAAAATCATCAGACTCATTTTTTTATATTTAAAAATATTATTAAATTAAATTTTGATCATTAAAATTGATAAAAACGCATCACACAACTTCAATCCACCTATATATATAGAATCATTATATTTTTGTCAACTATTAGGTGGATAATACGTGTTATCGTAAGTTTTCTGGGCGGACCTTGAATCAAATTAGGTTAATGTGTTGGTCTTCGTCCTTGTAATGGAAGGTCTAGTCATAGGCCCAAAATTGTTGAGACCAATTCTTTATGTGGTTTTACATTGGTACCAGCCCAATATAATGCCCTTGATTTTACCCAACTGCAGTTTTCTGGATGCTTCAATGAGAGTGCAGTTTCTTTTTCATTTCCTGAAGGCAATACTTTCTTTTTTTTTTTTTTCTTTTTTATTCTTTTTCATTACCTTAAAAGACTAATGATCAGTTTGCTAATAAGTGCCACACAGCCCTTTATTTGTACTCTTTGAAACAAATGGACTGATAAGTTAGCCATTGGTAACATCTTTTCTGGTCCAGCTACCATGAAAAATTACAGGTGTTCATATGGAACTTAAAATCAAAGATTTGAATAACAATTGCAAATGATTCAAAAATGACTCAAATGTGAAAACAAGTGTAGATTACAAAGGCACAGCAAGCAAAAAGAATGTTTTTTAACCCTTACAGCATGATATATCAGACAGATAAATTACAGTATGAATACTTTTTTTTTTTCGTTTTTTATTTTTCATTTTTATTTCATGAATCCTTGAATGGCAGCAACATCAAAGGCCTTATTCGTACGCTCCACCTGAAGCTCTCGAACAACCAAAAACCTGAAGCATAAGCATTATGGAATGGCAAGTACACACTTATAAGCTGGTAGCAAGAATTAACTAGGTCTATGGAATCAGTTAAGTAGCAGAGTTTCTGCTTTTCTTTCCAAAGAAAAGGAGCTTTCTAAACCCTTTGGCTGCTTTAGTTGAGCTTTCATCATTGTTCCATTTCTTTCTGAGGTGTACTGGTTCTGTGTCCATTCCATTATTTGGCGGTGGAGTTGAGATCTCTATTTCAGAAATCCTAGGTGACAGATATTTTTCATTCCTTGCACAGTTCCCTTCGATATTTACAGTGGAAAACTTGACAGTCTTGTTAGGCAATCGTGGCAAGGGATGAACAGTCTTCTCAGGAATATCTTCAGCAAAATCTTCTGGTGCTCTTTTGTCTTCAGAAACAACTGTAGATGCCTTAGTAAATTCCTCATCACCTTTTATATCACCTAATTGTTCTAGCTTATCTTCAGAGAGCCTATGTCCATTGGAGCTCCTGTCCACAGATGTGTTTCTTTGAGAAATTGCATTCCCTTCAGTTTTTTCTATTGAAGTACTCTGCAACTCCTGAATGTCTTTGAAATCATCAACAATGTCAGCAGGTTGAATTGCCTTGGATGCTGCTGGTTCCGTTGGCAATGCTACTGTGACCTCTTTGGAGTCCTTTCCTTGTGCATCAGAATCACTGGAAAGTACTTTATTTGTGCCACTTTTCATTTGTGAAGCTTTGACTTTGTTTGTGCTTGATTTCTTATCCTCAACACAATCAGTCTTCTGAGATTCTGTTGTTGAAGAACCATTTTCCTTCAATGTTGACCTTTTTGGCCGGCTTGATTTTGATTCAGCTGATGAGACCTTTGAAGTATTGCGTGCAGTTGCAAGGCGTTCTATAGTGGAACTTCTAAGGACTGGCTTTGATAATTTCTTTGTGTCCTGATTCAGCTGTTGACTCTTCATAGAAGTTGTTGAAGTTTTATTTTCTGTGGAGCTCCTCCTGGAAGTAACAGGATTAGGACCACTAGCAGAACTCCTCTCAGCAATTCTCTTCTGGCGCTGGAGCCGTAACTCCTCCATTTTCTTTCTATTCTCCTCTTCCTATTTGATAATAGAAAGGGCAAGGACAAGAAATCGGAAACAGATCAGTATCTTATACTACATATGAACCACAATACCACATCTTAATAGACAAGACAATTGCAAATTTATATGTACTAAGGTGTCATGAGAAATGCTATGTGTTTCTGTTGAATGCTCTTTCAAGCAGCATGAGATGATATGCTCTCTTGTAGTTTGGATGGTTCCAAGAGAGAATGAAAGCAAAACAAAGAAATGCATTAGAATTCTTAGCTACATTCGAGCATTTGCAGCCTACTTTCTCTCATTTGGCTGAGGAACAGGAGCATAAAGAGTTGAAAATACCTGATCAAATTTGGTTTTCCGTACTGTGGTTTGGCTTCCAGCTGGTGGTTTCCTGCTCTTTGATGCTATATCTGATTTGCTCTTGACAAGAGATCCATTGGAAACTCTAGAACGGACTTCTTTATTTGAAAGTTTTCCCTCAGAACTTCCACGTTTTTTACCACCAGCACCAGTTGTTTCAACATCAGAGTGCTTTCTATTCGCTTCAGCAGATAGTACATTCATTTCATAGTCGATTTCTGGAGTCCAAGAAGTCATGGCATTCTCCTCAGCTGAATCACGCCCAAGCATCATGTAAAGGTCATCTGGCTCATAGGAAAAAGAAGCAGTCTTCTGTACATTTTCTGAATTGACATTTTCGTATTGAGTTGCTTCAATTTCTGGAACCATGCCTATACCTATCCTTAACTGAGAATCAGATTGATCTTCTCCCACTGATGGACCTTGAATCATTAAAGAGTCATCAACGAAAACGTCTTTTTTGTTTTTCTCAGAGTTGAAACGTTCCCCAGCTAATAAAGAAGCATTATCCCCATCAAACATTTTGAGGCCCATGATCTCATCCTGATTTGCTGATTTATCCAGTTGTTTGTTGATAAACCATTCTCCTTCCTTGCGACTTCTGATCATAGTCGATTCTGTGACATAATCAGAGATATTAGCTGTGGAACTGATCCCAGAATCATTGCCTTGCAACATTAACAACTCCTCATTTGTGCTCTCCCTTCTCTTAACAACCGGGCCACCAAATTCATTAGTTCCAAAGTTTCCAACTGGAGTTTCACCTTCATGACCCCTATCCATCTGTGAGGCCAGAAAGGGATCACTTGAGATAGCTCGCTGCTTTGTTACTCCCTCAGAGTTTGGGTTAAATGCTGTTGACCTTCCATCTTCTGAGCCCTTGCTCGCAAAATATTCTTCTTTCAACCTTACAGGATCTACTTCTGAAGAATCCAAATCCTTGTCCTGCAACAGAAGGTTCTGGAAAGCATCCCAGGGATTGTTTCTTCTTTCTCCCTCAGAATTTTTTGCAGTACCAACCTGAGTTTCCAGTTCATCTTCATCATATGAAATAGTGTTTCGATGCTTGCTTCCTTCGCGCTTCTTATGATGACGTGAGGTAGATTTATGTTGTCTCCCCAGCGATCCAACAGCCTCCTCTACTTGCTGTTTGAGAGAATCTCCATCAATGAACTCATCCTCATCAGAAGTCTTTTCAGAATCACTGCCCTTTTCTCCATTCCTCTTGGAAGAAATGTAATTAATATTGCGGATGACAACCTTTCTTGAGGATTTCTTTCCATGCTTTTTCTTATGCACCTGCTCTTCTGGTTCACTCTGAGAGCTGGAATCACTAGTCTCAGTGGATTCATCTTGCTTTGAAGTTTCATCACCCTTCCCACGCGAAGATTTCTTTTTGCTCCTAGAAGACGATTTATGACTTCTACGATCATCTGGTTCCCATGCACGACTAAGACTAGAATCCTCTACATTTGGAGGCCAATGCATATTCCCTGAATAATATGGAGGGGCAGCATGCATACCAGGAAAAAGGTAGCCTTGATATGGAGGCATTTGCTGAAATGGAGGACCCTGAAAATTGTGCATGTACTGAGGAAAATGGGGTGGCCACGGCATTTGTACTTGAGCTTTCCCATCTGTGGATGGCAATCTATCATCTGTAGAAGATGTTAAATGATTTTAAAACATGAAGTAGTAGTTCATTGGAGTTAACCATTCTAGACTAGCAATTATAGGAAGTCATAGCTCATGAATATAGATCATGAAATTCGGCATCCATACTGACCTTGGTTAATATCTCCACTGCTAGCATCAAAGGCATCGGCTGAACCATTATGCTTCCCGCCAGAGAAATTCGTCATAAGATTTTGACTAGGATCATTTTCTTCCCCAGCAAGTATGATTCCAGATGTTTCGAGGTAAGACAAGTCTGGTCTAGTACTTGCTTGCATTGCTGCTAATTCAGCCATCCAAAGCCTATCTTCATTCTTTCTCTTGCATAAGTCCATGAAATTTATGCAAGCTTCCCTGACAAAAACAATAATAGACTGTAAATTTTCAAATGGTGGAAAAAATCCCAACACATAGTATCTGCATCAACTTCAATTTCTTTAGATTAATTTGGCTAAATTCTCCAGAAATTGTCTATACAAATGTTGGACATGAATGAACAAAGCAGCGATGCCCTCAAGTGTCCAATACTGCACCTTTAAACTGAATAAGTGTCGTTTTCTATACGAAATAACTTTTTTGTTTAAATGAAAAGATACACCAGTAAGCTCCCATTCCGTCTTTTGTTCATTATAGCCAACACTTTCACTTGAGTTTTATCTCTAGAAAAACAGTCCTGACTCCTAACTGATAAAAATCATTCCATTTTGACAGTGGCCTTTCGTACCTTAAACGTGAAGCACCAAAAGCATCTGCAAAAGATATGAGGTCATCTATATTATCAGGTTCATATCCAGCAACCAGAGCACGAGCATAAGCCATTGCTTGCTCCTTTGAAAGTACTTTCTTTCTAGTTTCCAGAACTCGTTGAAGACGAACCCTGCATGTCAACCCAAGGTGAGCAAGGAATGCATTTTAACAGAAATGGACTGAAATCAAGCTAATGCGACTAGTTGCAGGACAAGGTAATTTACTTGGAATTTTCCTCTTGAACAGCATCACCGGTTCCATTGTATTCACCTTTTGACTACATGCAGCATCATAGTACAAGTCTGGAATTAAGATGTGAGCTATCATGGAAACAAAACAAAACAATGTTCGGTAGAAGGCAGAACATACCTTTGATGAAGAAAATGACTTTTGGAAATTTCCTGAAACAACTGACTCAGTTCCTGCCAATTCCAAATTGGATGAAATCACACAATCTGCTACCTTTAGCATATAGTCCAAAGCTAAAGGATAAAAATCCAAAGATTTAAGGTAAAAAAGTGCAGTCCAAATTATGAACTATGTGGCTTATTCAGTATAATTTAAATCTAAATATCTGTAGTGAAGATTTCCCTTTTTGAATTAGGGCCAATATCAAACGAAAAACATGTTAATCAGTTCACTTAGTCATGACTAACCTGATTGATGCTATTACAAGACTGAATTACAAAACCTAGAACTCAACAAAACTGATGAACTTCATTAACCCAAAACTACCCTAACTCGAAAGACATTCATAATATATGAAATAACATAAAAGGAAAATGTTCAGGCTGTAGCTTGACTACAGACACAGACATAAAAAAATGTTTTGGTCCAAACAAACCATCTGCCTCTGTCGCCCCTGTAGCATTTGCTTCATTTGATTGAATTGAATTCTCAATCTGCTCAATTTCTCTCTCCACTGTCACAAATCTCTCAAGAACTTCTGGTGTGCTAACAAACCTCACAAACCTGTTATTAGCACAAAAAGCATAAATCAAGTTAATGAAACAAAGACTGAAAGCAAAAGATGAAAATAACTAATTAAAATGCAGTCATTTGACAGTCCAGTCTACAAGTTATTCCAATGATTCTTGTAAGATTATTGAACATTTTTGCATTGATGAAGTAGCCAAATTCAAATTCAGCACTTTAGAGATTCATGGCGAAGCCAAAAACACTCAACAATCATTGTCAATTATATGGAAATTCCAAATAATGGGTCAATTTACAAATCCAAACTGATCATTTTGTCGCAAAATCTTGCCATATTTCAAAGCAAAGCTTAGAAAAAAAGCTCAATCAACAATTCAAAGCCTGAGTTTTACCTGTGCAGAGTGCCTTTTATGAACCAGGAAGGCGTTGAGCCCACTGGACGAAGAGTTATAGAGTACCCTCCTTTTGATATCTGATCTTTAGCACTTTTGAGGTGTGAAATGAAGGGTTCTAACAATCCTGACGCCAATTTCTCATTCTCTTTCCCGGCAAAAATCACCAGATCACATCTTCAAATTTCAAACACAAACCCAAAACGAACTTTCTCAGATGAATTACCAATTCAAAAGCCGTAATTCACAAAAAAGCAACACTGCAACAAATGTACATATAAAAAATCCAGAAAAAAAAATCAAAGAACCAAATTAACTTTACCTGGTTCTAGTTGGAGTGAGATGGAACAAAGCATAATCAAGACGTGTCCTGAAGTCCATAGCTAGACCTTAAGACGGATACCAACAGTTCCTGAGAGAGAAAGAGATAGACAGACAGACAGAGAAACAAACTCTAAATCTTCATTGGTTTAGTTCATCCATTGTTGGAAGTAGTTTTTCTTTTTCAATTCCTTGTTGTCCTTACAGAAACAAGTTCATTTTTTTTTTGCTGTGCTGACAGACTAAACATGGGAAAAGTTTTAGAAACTCATGGGGTTTTCCGGTAATGTAGTAGTACTAAACTGTTGGGAAGTTTTTCGTTGGATCTTGTGCAGTTTCTTTTGCAGGGTTTTTTGTACTTTTGTTTTTGTTTAGCTTAGAAGAATGTTGCATATTATGGAAACTACAAAAACAGAAGAAAAATAGAGAAAAAAAATTGCCAGTTGCCTGCAAAGAACTGATGAAGCCTAGCTTTAGCACATGGGAAAGTTTTCAGGATCACAAGGAGAAGAAGGAAACAATATTTTGATGATATTTTAATGGAACGTGGATCCCACTTACCGACAGATGCATCCATCAATTTTCAAGTTTTTTTTTTTTTCAATTTTTCATCTTATTTTCTTGTTGGGAAATTAATTTAATTTATTCCAGGTTGTATTTTGTACAGTTTTGTTGGATAAGAGGTTGTTTCCTTCTCTTTTTTCTTGTGCTGCCGTGAGTTTCACTCTTCTCAGTGGAAAGAGTGAGAGAGTGGGCAAAGAATAATCACTAAACTCTTCCTTTTCTTCAAAATTTCCATCCATAAAATTACAGCTTTCAGCTCTGCCAAGCAAATATTCAAAGGCACTCCCTTCCAGAAGATAGCATATACCTGATGAAAGTTGTTCTGGTGAATGGGTTTCTCTTACAACTGGATCATGAATTCAACAACAATTTTTTTATATATATAATAACGAGTTAAATAGCTAATGTGATTTTATCAGTAGTTGAATTTTTAATTTTTGTAATTAGAATTTAATTTTTTTTTTAATTTTCAAATATAAAAAATAACTAAATTGACAGAATTGTTTTATTAAAATTTAATGGATTAATTTATTTTTAACAACATAATATTTCACCCTTATTTACATATTTCTAGTTTTTCAACCTTATTAACATATTTCTAGTTTTTCTCCTTTTTATATGTTGAGATAATTTATAACTATTAATAAACTGATAAATCACATCTAAATTTTTTGTCATAAAAATTGCATGAGGATCCATTTTGTGATCATTCCTCGGCATTTATCTAATTTGGTTTATAATTTTTATTACCCTTCAATTTTGAATTTTTGCCATGGAGGTGGCTTTCTAATTGCAGTTGCATTAAATGATTGCAATCAAAATTACTGCCTTATTAGCCACGACCCCAAGTTTAATTGTTGGTTCAAATATAGCTTTCATTTAATATATGCTATTAATTGTATTGTTATAAAAGATTTTTACCCAATTTTAATTAAAAGAGTCTTAATTGTTTGTGTCGAGCTCCGATCTCAAGGTATTCTTGAAAAAATAGAAGAGAAAGACGATTACAAGTAAAGATAGAGAATGTTTCTTACGTTTACACTCAAACGCGTAAATAAAAAAAGATGAGATCAGAAGGAGAGTAATAGAGAGAAGATGGAATGATATATGTGTTCCTTTCATGATACTTGAACCTTCATATTTATAAATAAGTGGTAAAGGACCATTAGGGGCTAATAAAGACATTGCTAAGCTAATGTGACATTGAAAATGTCAAACTAACCTGATATGTCGATATAAATATTAATATTACCCCTAATTGTTTGCTAAAGGCTTTTTTCATGCAAAAAGACGAACATGCCTTTTTGACCATTTCAAGACATTATGTAAAGTAATTTATTGCTACTAAGACAAATTTCTTCTGGCCTATGGTTGAGGTGAACGGTCCGAAGACATCTATTCCCCATTGCATGAAAGGCCATGAGATGATGATAAGGGTGAGCTCCATCGATGGGAGATGTTGTGTGTGAGCAAACCTTTGACACTTGTCACATCTCTTTACCAGTTCGATTGTATCTTTTCTGATAATGAGCCAATAACAGCCTTTTCTGAGCACTTTATAGGAGAATGACCGAGGTCCAAAGTGGCTTCCACATATTCTTTTCACATAGTCTGCTTCTTTCTTGAAAACACATCTTAAATAGGGCAGACTAAAAGATATTTTGTATAATTTTCCCTTAATCATCGTGTACCAATGGGCCTTCTTCGTCAATGTCTTAGCTTGGGTTCTATTCTCAAACAGTGCTCCCATGGTCAAGTACGTTTTGATCGACCTCACCCAAGTTTCTTTTTTTGTGATCTGCTCTACGAGCTTATTTTTGGTGCTTTTGTGTGTCAGTTCTTTTACTAAGACTTGGTCTAAACTGTCTGTTGTTATTTTTAAAGCCAACTTAAAAGAGTCCACCAATGAATTTTTTACCTCGGTATTTTCTTTACCTTGGCTCGTGTGAAGCTAGCCACTAAGGTAAGTACTGTATTTAGATATTTTCAAATTTCATATTTTTAAGCTTTGAACTCCTTATTTATTTGATCAACCACTAGCTGGAATCATTATATACAATTAGATATTAAATGTTAAGCTCGGTTACCAACCTCAAGCCAGTTATCAATGCCTCATATTTCACTTTATTGTTGGATGCCCTGAACTTAAATCTAAAAGAGTATGGGTATTGCAATTCTTTAGGGCTGATCAGAATAAAGTCGGCCCATCCACTATGGTTTGTGGCTAAACCATCAACATAAAGCTTCCATTTTTTTAATTTTGAGGTTTTTTTTTTTTTCAAGTTGTCTTTCAGCTTGTACCAAGATGAGTTTTACAACGAAGTCTACTAGCACTTGAGATTTTAAGGTTGCCATGAGTAAAATATGCAAGTCGAATTCGTTGAGCTTTATTACCTATTTGATTAATCTCCTTAACATTTCTAACTTTTGTAAAACCTATCTCAACGGTTAGTCAATCAATACATGAATCACATGGGCTTGAAAATATGGCCTGAGTTTTCTAGTTAAAATGACAACTATGTAAGCAAACTACTCTATACCACTGTAGTTAATTTTTGGCCCTGTTAATACTTTGCTTATAAAATACATCAATCTTTACTTATTCTCTTCCTTTTGAACTAAAATCAAGTTAATGGCTTGGTCTATGGTGGCCAAATATAGGTACAAGGTTTCGTCAGACTTCGATTTAGATAGAGGGGTGGAGAGGATAAAAACTCCTAGAGTTATTTAAAAGATTTTTGACATAAAAGGTCCATTTGAAGTCAAAATTTTTTTTGAGAATTTTGAAGAATGGCAAACGTCGTTCTGCCTACCTGGACATAAATCGACTCAGAATGGCTATTTTGTCAGTTAACCTTTGTACTTTCTTTATCATGGTCGAGTCTTTCATGTTTAGGATTGTCTAAACTTTTTATGGGTTCTCTCTATCCCATTTTTATTGATCATGCAATCGAGAAACTTATTTGATGTAAACCCAAAGGCACATTTGCTCGAGTTGAACCTTATATTATATTTTTTCAAGGTGTTAAATGTCTCTTTAAGGTCTTTCAGGTGCTCAATCAAGCTCTTACTTTCGACTATCATGTCATTTACATATACTTTTATATTGCAGCCGATCTTATTTTTAAATAGCTTATTTACTAGCTTTTAATAGATCACCTTTGAAGTCTTTAATTTGAAGGGCATCACCTTATAGCAATAAAGACATTTCTCATAATAAAGGTCATTTTTTTCTTGTCATCCTTTAGCATTTTGATTTGGTTGTATCCATAATAGGTATCTATAAAATTAAAGAGGCCATGCTCGGTGCTATCATCCACTAGTCGATTTATACTAGGGAAGCGAAAACTATTTTTTAGGCATGCTTCGTTTAGATTGGTAAAGTTGATGCACATCCTTTATTTTTCGTTATGCTTTTTGACCATGACCACATTGACTATCCATTTGGGGTAGTAAACCTCCCTGATGAAGACTGTTTGTAGTAGTCTATCAACCTTCTCCTTAATTACCTTTTGTCTTTCTAGGGTAAAAATTTTTTTCTTTTATCGAACTGATTTTATCTTAAGGTTAGTATGCAGCCTATGGACCATCACTTTGGTATCAATACTGGGCATATCGAATGATGTCTAAGCAAACAAGTTGGCATCATTTTTCAAGAGTTGAATAAACTGATCTTTATGTTGAAGTCTAGTTCTGATTTGTAATTTTTTTAGGGACATAATCCCAAAATAAAATTGTTATGAAATCTTCAACCAGCTCAAATCAATTTTCATTTGAGTTTGGTCTTTGGTCAATTATCTCTTTTTGTTTAGTTAAGTCGAGACCATTTTCTATGAAAATAGATCTTGACGTGATGATTAGTGTATTGTAGATAACTTACTGAATATGTATGTAGTAAAATTTATATGTATTTCTCATTTCATACTATATTTTGATCGACTTGTTAGCTCAATCTGAATAACATGTAATTATTCATGTCAGCTTACGAGCTCGATTGTATTTGAAGTTATCTCAAAAAATTTTAAAAATAGAACAAAATTTTTTTTTTGTTAGAGTTTGAGAGCTCGGAGTGGCTTAAGAGCACACTTTTAATAGTTCGTCTTACGTTTTATATTCTTACTTGTGGTTTCCTACTTTTGGTCAGCTTTTGCTATTTGCTTTTCCTCTGTGCTTTTATTCTCAACCAAACTGCAAGTCTCCTTTTCAGTTCTCTTTTTTATTATTGTGATATAACACTGATGTGCCATGGGCTGATTTCCCTTAACCTCTCTAACCCTGTTAGGTGTTAAAAATTTTACTTTTAGATGGAGAGCTAAACCTATATATCACATAACAGACTGGTTAGGTCGACCCAATATCATGTTGTAGGCTAATGGAACATCCATCATCATAAATTCTACAACCGAGATAGTTGTCCTTGGTTTTATCCCTAAAGAGATTGATAGTTTAATTGTTCTTTACACAAGCACCTGTTCATTCTTGAATCCTACTAATGTTGTAATGATCAATTGCAATCGATCTTCACCAATTTTTATCTTTTTCATCGTATCGTAGTATATGACATCAATTGAACTTTCATTGTTAAACATGATTCTCTTGACCACATAGTTGTATACTATGACTATGATTAGTATGGTATCATCATGTGGGTACTGGATTTTTTCAAGATTTTTTGGGTTGAATGAGATCGACTTATCTTTTCAATATTTTTGTTTCTTCGTTGAGGTGTCTATTACCATAACCATGCCTGAATTAAACTTCTTTTTGGCAGAGGTGGAACTCCCTCAAATGATCATATCAATCACTTTGGTAATCGATCTATTGTTATTAGTTTGGCCCTCTTCTTGCCTCAACTCATCTTCATAATCTTTTTTTTTCTTTTTTTTGGCCTTCATTTTTCTGCCTTGAAGGGGTTTTATTCAATATTATCTGTAGTCCATTCTGGGTTGACCTTATTTTCACTGTTTTACA